ATTTAAATGACTTGATTGTAAATGATGAGAGGATACCTCTGAGTGAGTGATATATTGTATTGTGTATATTTTACTGTAATGAACTTCTTACCTTCTCTCCCTTGTGGCCCTTCAGTCCACGGATACCTTGACCTCCCTGGAGTCAAAACAATTCATAATCAATACACTGTTAGAGTTGTGTTTGACGCCACGAGGACCAGGATAGCCGATAGATCCCTGAGGACCGTTTGGACCCTGGAGAAGGTCAATGAAAGAAGTCCAAGTTGTAACACAATAAACACCACACGGTAACGTCTTACAGGCACAGCTACAACGACATGCTCAATGTTCCCAATTCAACAGATTAACTATAAATATTCAATATCTTTCAGCTATTTATGATGGACACCTACCTGGTTTCCTTTGGTGCCAGAAGGCCCCTCCTTTCCTGGGTGACCCTGAGAAGAGAGAAAAAGTTCAAGCCTCAGGAAGCGATGATGGATTCAACTTAACGCAGATTTATGTTAATTCAAAATAAAGACAGAAGAGATAAACTTACAGGAGGGCCATCAGCCAGGCATTCCTGGCAGACCTGGTTTTCCTGTGGGACCCTGAGGAGAGGACATGGGTCAGAACTGAGAGTCCAGGGGAAGGGAGGGGGTCTGATGGTGGTTTTGCACCTTAAACTTTTAGTGTCTTACAGAAAACACCACAAGAAGGATAACATGTTCTGAAAACTGTGTAGCTACTGTATGAAAAATGATCCTCCTTCATCAACATATGAATGAACTCTTAATCATACTCAGATCAGGTTACCCTCTTAAAGATCATTAATGGTTTTCAGTGATCAGGTGAGTGCATGTGAGTGATTGGACGGGAGCTGATGGTGCAAGATTTAAAACGCCGTCATCATCCGCGTGACGTTTCAGGCCCAAACTGTTCATCAGAAATCAGATTTCATTAGTTTTTGGTCTACGATTTAGTTAAGTGTCATGACATTTTGTACGTCCTTTCATTGTTCCCAGAGGATAAATCCTGCTCATTCATGTTATCACACAGGACAAGGTCTCTGGAGGCAAGGCATGCCATAAAAAGATCAATGCAGGGAGCGCTGGTGGCGCAGTGGTTAGTGTGTGGAGGCCATAGTCCTCCATGCAGGCTGCAGGTTTAAATCTGACCTGTGGCTCCTTTCTGCATGCCATTCCCCCCTCTCTCTCTCTCTCTCTCTCTCTCTCTCTCTCTCTCTCTCTCTCTCTCTCTATGATTTCAGACTCTATCCACTGTCCTATCTCCAATAAAGGCACAAAAAGCCAAGAAATCAAAAAAAAAAAAAAGATCAAATCATAAAACAAAGTGAAGCGGTTTCATTACGTGCACAGAGATTGCACTGGTTTTGTTCAGTCTATGGTCATGCACCAGTGCAGATAAATATCACCCCTCCCGGTCACTCAGGGAATTTCCTGAATATTTCCTACTGCGTTCTCACATTGCTCACCGGGACTCACATTAAAATTTTACTAGGGGTTGAGAGGAAAAATTTCAGGTAAAACTGAAGTGAAAAATTCAGCTGTTAGCGTTCACACATGCAGCTCAAGACCCCAAAAGAAATGTCATATAACAGAAAAGTTTGAGATCTGCTGCATTTATGTCAATATGTGTTCTAACTGTGTGTATCTGTGTTTGTTAGTGTACCACATGCAGGAGGACGGCTGGATAAAGGTGTGTAAGGAGACGTGTCAGAGTTGATCCATCGCTACAAGAAGGGAATGTTCTGAGTTTGACCCCTTTAACAAAGAGCAACATCAGCAGTCTGCACATTCACAAACGATGCCTTTTGTTCCTAAATAAATCTGATTTAGACTCTACTTTGTTCTGATTCTGTATCAATGAAATGTCAGCCAGAAGCATTTCTTTCCTTACATATCAACCTGAACTTCACAGGTTCAGACTGTTCTGATCTCTCTTTAGTTCATTTCTTTATGTGATGTTTTCTTGGTGCTGTGCATGTCAGTACTGTTGCTCTCCAAACGTGTGGTTCAGTGAAGTCATTTGTGCTTACCAGACATCACAACACAAAGCTCTGAATAAAAACAGTTTCTCAAACTACTGCTCTGTCGTTTATTATTGAAGATCTCATTTCCTCTTTCAGTCTTTTTACTGCCTTCAACCTATCAGGCCTCACCTGTCTGCAGCACGCCACGCTCACTCCCTTTGTTTGCTGCAGCATGCTCAACTACATGTCAGGTTACCAACTACTTTTACTCACCTGCTCAATCTCATTTGCTTTACTTTGAAGTCCAGCCCACGAGTGGGACTCCATGGTTTTGTACAGCACCTGATGAAGAAACGTGTTCTTTAATGCGCATAGCTAATAAATAAGTATATTTTTGGGAGCCATAGTGCATCATATCCAGTGAATAAATAAGTGATGTGTGTGTGTTTGCCAACTACTCCCCGTGTTGACAACATTTAGGTGCATTTTTTGAATGCTTTGTTTGGGCTGTTCCTTTTCACATATGTGATGGCTGAGTTCATCAGTTAGATTTATTGGTGTGGCCCTGATCAGTGTTTTTAGATTTCCTGTAAGCTCTTAATCACCAGAATGATGTGTTCATCACTAGGGGAATCATTTGAAAAGAAAGAAGTTTTACTCTGATCCCTGCACTTTGATTGGTGTACGATTGCAGAAGCTTTCATTTTGAACTAACCCAAACACTTTTCTTCATGTACTGATTATAAAGCTGAGCTGATCCATTTTGTTGCTTTATGGTATAAACTGTCGGGAACCCGAGCCATGAGAGAGAGGCAGTACGAAACAAAAACTAAATCTCTCAGTTTAAACAAACCAGGCCAATTCAATATTTTGACTTGTAGTTGATGTGTTTACATACATAGAATAACAGTTTCCATGAATCTATCATTGTTTTATCACAACTATAAAGTACAGAAAAAATAAAAGTGTCAAAACATTTTAAGTAAAAGGTAAATCCAGAAATCGAGGTGTTGAAATGTAGAGCACAGAAATACATGATGGAGCAGATATAATTTACTGACTTTTCAACTGGCTCAAATCAGCCCTGAACCTGTGAGGTGAGATTTTGATTTCCTTTGAGAGGGCGTTAGCGTAATATTTACAGTCTGTGAGTGTTACTTTATCACGCTTATGTACTTATTTAAATAAAAAATAAACACAGATTGGGTGCATATGACTCTTCTGTATTTTATGGATGATTCATTAACAGCCTTAAATTACGCCCAGGCTGACAATGCATCATAAAATAAGATATTTTAAACACACTGTAGTAACAGGAGCTGTGATGTCATCTGTTGCCATGCAGCACTCGGCTCCACAGGTTCTGGTGCCCTTGAGTTGAATCAGGTTTGTCAACGTTAATTTCCTTTTATAAAACTATGAGTCCGAGTTCATTTACTTACTTTGAACTTTTAATGACAGAATTTTGCAGTTGAATGTAAGACCTTTAAATTTTTACATTGCAGGTATCACAGCTCTGTTAACATGTTTATATATTAAAGTGAGTGGATCTATTTAGAATATGTTGATACTAAAAGGTATTTTTAAAGTGATTAAAATATACTACATAGCAAAATAAACGTTTATTTAGAGGATCAACAGAGCAGGAGAGTTTACAGTCACATGTCCCTTGTTGCTAGGCAGACTTCAGTGCAACAGGTTTGCTCAGGAGAAAACCAGTTCAATACATGCAGTACAAGAGGAAAGTGGAGTCTGCAAAGTTTACATGACAGTTCTCACATCTTTTCTTAGAGTACCTCTTCTTATTCAATAAGAAAGCAAGTTCTTGTTCTTCAAAATGTGTTTTAATTGAAGGGAAAATAAAAGACAACTAATCCCATCACCTGTGCATCCCCACAGGTCCTCATTTTGGAGAGTAGTGTATACAGGGTTCAATACAAGAGGAGCTTATGGGAGAGGAGCATAGACCAAGAAAAACAAAAAGAGACAAACATCAACACAAAGGTTAAAACAGAGCCAAGGACACCAGCTAAAAGGATGAGAAACATTCACTCATCAAGTCTATATATGTTCAAGAGTGTGAGCCCTCTAAACTTTGAGCTTTTCCCGGGTGTCTGTCCCCTTTATCAAATACGAGATGTCAGATTTTCAGGAAAACATGATCTGTGATCTCTTAATAAGAAGTACACTCCCCAGATCTCTGAGCCACTGTTGGAATAGAGGACTAGTCTCTGACTTCCACTGCAGAAGGATAATGTGATTTAATTAACAAAGCCGGATTCACAACAACCGCTCCAAAGAAAGCGAGTAGAGGATCAGGAGTGATTTTTATGTTAAAAGCTTTGATAGGTGGTCGAATATAAGAGACCAAAAAGTTTTAATGTTGGACAGAGAAAGTAAATTTTAACAACAGAATGTATTCAGACAATATGTGAAATCACAAGAAGACACACATTTGGAATTTTTAAAGGCTTTATTGAAACACAAAATCAAATTTGTAATGTTTACATCACCCGGCATAATAACTGATTATGAGCATTGATTCTACATTTTGATTGGTTTACAACTTAACATAAATCATTCAATTATTCTGATCAGTAGACAAATATCTAACAACTTTTCTTTTATCAGCTGAAGCATTTAAACTTAATTTAAAAATATATATCACAGAAGAAAAAACAACATAGTCCTGATTACTAATGAAAAACCTTAAAACACAAACATTATAAATCTCTTGAGCCTCGTTTAAATCAACACACTTCATTACTTATGCAGAAATAAACAGTACTGAGGAGCTGGTGAATGGAGGCTATGGTCCTACAAGCGGGCGGACCAGGTTCAAATCCGACCTGTGGCTCCTTTCCTGCACGTCATTCCCCGCTCTCTCTCTCTCTCCGATTTCAGACTCTATCCTCTGTCCTATCTCTACAGTAAAGGTACCAAAAGCCAAAAAGAAATCTTAAAAAAGAAATAAGCGAACTATTTACACAACTGGAAAACAAAATGTTTAATGTTTGTATTGTGTGTGTGTGTGTGTGTGTGTGTGTGTGTGTGTGTGTGTGTGTGTGTGTGTGTGTCTTTATTAACGTATTTATCACCAACATTTGTTTTAGCACAAAGCTCCGAACACCAGAAGTAAAAAATCCAACTATGATGGATTTTAGATCAACACACAAATCTTTCTTCAACACATGAAGAGCGGCGTGATGCCGTCATAGATTCATCTTCTGATTCTCTTCTCTCCAGGTGACAAAAATAAATCATCAAGTTTTCATTAAATTTATTTAAGCGTCTTTTATCAGCGGAAAAGCTTTTTATATTTGAAACTAACGTCACCAAACAACCCTAAAGAAGATTTGTAAAGCATTTGTCAACTCTTTTTCAAACTCGTTTTCTTTGTATTTCAAAGATTTAAATTTAAATTCCCAACTCTGATCACTTCATGTCTGATACGATGAGAGCCAATGAATTCTGAGGAGAGCGTGTCGGTCTGCTCCTTGTTTCAGTGCAGAACGTACCCGTAAACCTTTAGAGAAAAAGACAGAAGAAAGAGAAAACATGACATTAAAAAATATTTATCATCACTTTTTTTACAGAATTTATCCACAAATCCAGGTTTTAACATCAAGGTCAAAGGTCACAGTGATTTCATCATTGAAGCACCTTTCTTTAAATCATCTCCCTTCACTTCAAATACACTTTTTCACTAAAATGAGTCATCAACTTTTTTACAATAACAAAGAAACGATCTCCTTTATGCAGTTTTATAATCAGATTTAAAGAATTACTGTAACAACCAAAAAGAAAAGAATAAGCTCGTATATGAAAACATGATAATAAACATGACAGGACTCAAAACACGTTCACACACACACGGTTTAAAAACTGTGTGTCTTCCTCTGATTCCTGATTCCTCTTCCCCATTCACCTGTGACTCTCTTTTCTCTCTGCCTGTAGCTGTGGTTACCGCCTCTGTCCAGGTGACGCAGCAGCAGAAGTAATGTTTACATGCAGTGTCTTCCTGACTTACCACACACACCACCAGAACAATGACTATATCCTGAATTAAAGGCTTATTTCATGTAACTCACTGGGTTCAGGGTCCTCTCTTTGTCTTTCAGGTATTTTGATTTGGAAGCATCATTTGTTGCACAGCCGGGTCGTTTACCGCTGTAAGATCAGAAACACAATGTTAGCACACATCCGACTCTGAAACCATCATTTACACCAGAAAACACTCCAGAAACCCTTTTTCACTTACAGAGTTCATTTAAGGTCAAACTTAATATAATAAAATCAAGTTCTACTTACGGGATGGAGGGCGTTTGGCTGAAACAGAAAAAAAAAGATTGTTCTAGATTTATTTCATTGAAGGTTATTTAAGGTCCCCTCAAGAGAACTATTCACCAGATGTAAATATAAAAAACATGTTTGAATGTTTCCACTTTGCTCTCTCACCATTTCTCTTCTTACACAGGCAGAATCCAGCCGCACAGACGATGGTTACAAGAAGGAGAACAACAGCGATGATGACAAAGATCATGTAGATGGGATTCACTGTTGAACACAAACAACACACAGTCACACAACCTGTGATCAAACAGGTTAAAGGTTCATTAAAGACAAAGTTTCTCCTTCTGTCAGTTAGCTCGTCTTCATCACTGTACCTTTGATTCATTTTCTACATGTAGTTGTTTTTTCCCTTCACCTTTATGTCTTTTATTTCCATGTTTGATTGTGGCACAATGGTAACCGCTAACGATTACATTCAAACCCTTTTTTCTCAATATTATTGATTTAAAGTCATTTAAAGGTTAATGCGGCTGCACTGTGGTAACGAGCGGACAGACGGTAAAAAACAAAACGATTCTGTCCATTAATAATCTCTTTAAAGATCTCTGTGTTTGTTTCATCCTGATCCAAACCTTTAAACTCTTTTTCTGAATACTTTTACAATTTGAAGAGTTTGAAAGAAAGAAAAAGTCACAACTAAACTTTCCCTCCATCACACGACTGTTACAGTCAAATCCTCTCTTTCATCACTTCTCATCGAGGTCTTACCGTAGTTGGTCTTGATCTCTCGTTTGTCCAGTTTGGTGACGATGTCCTCCTTCACACCAGAGAGCTGAAACACACAGTCGTACTTCCCCCAGTCATCAGAGGGCAGTTGAAGGTCAGCGCTGATCTGGAAGGAGCCGTCGTGGTTGGGAGGATCTCTCCCTTGTCCACGTCCTCGTGAAGCTCCTCTCCATCTTTCCTCCAGAACATCATGGCTCTGTTGGGGTAGAAACCTGTAGCGTGGCAGGTGACCCGAGAGGAGGGAGTCTTCTGGAGGAGAGACACTGTGGGGAGGTCTGGAGGACAAACAGGAAGACAGATTAGAGTTTCTTTATCAGGATTTACTCTTAAATACTGTTACAACTCATGTTTGATGACACTTTTTAAATGTACTGGGAAAAAAAGGGACTTTAAAATCCAGTGAGTCAACAATGAAAATCAACCTTATTAAAGTATAATTCAAAGAAGAGAGGGTCAGAGGGGAAGAAACAGAAGAAGAGGGTGAGGGGGGTTCAGATGGATTGATGAAGAAGAAGAAGAAGAAGAGGAGAGAAAGTACAATAAAAACACAGAGAAACTTTGAGAGAGAGCGATGAGCAGCAGAGAGAAAGAGATCTAACATGAAGGGAAAGGTAAGGGGAAGCTTAAAGATGAAGACAGAGCATGTGTGATAGAAACATGTGTGAAATATTTATTGTTCAATTACAAGATAAACAAGAAAAGAAGAAGATGAACATTGTCAGAATTCAACTCCATCAGGTCATTTGATCCTACCTGTTCTCATCAGAGAGCTCCTCCCATAGTTCACAAACTTCTTCAGCCAGTCAGGACAAATCTGGGTGAGGTAGTTCTTAAGATTCTCTAACTCAGCTTTGTCTTTATCCCACTTCTGTTTGGTGGCGACAGCCTGTTGTTGTGGAGCGACCCACGTCCATGTCTTCGTGTCCAGAACTATGAAGTCTTCTCCATCATAACCATCTTGATAATAACCATTAACATCTCCAGTCTCATCATCCCACTCACGCCGTACATCCTGGCAATGTGAACACCTGAGAGAGAGAGAGAGAGAGCGAGAGAGAGAGAGAGAAGAGAGGGAGAGAGAGACAGAGTGAGAGAGAGAGAGAGAGAGAGAGGGAGGGGGGAGAGAGAGAGAGAGAGAGAGAGCGGGAGAGAGAGAGAGAGAAAAGAGGGAGAGAGAGAAAGAGAGGGAGAGAGAG